AATAATTATATAAAATATTAATAAAATATCCTCTCTTTGCCACGATCCTGAATAGGTCATAATATAGACTATATTTATTATTCATTTAATATACAAAAAAAATATATACAATTTTTAAAAAATTTTTTCTTATTTACATGACAAAATGAGCAGAGACGCCGACCTATGAACTCTAATCGAGCAAATTTAAGTATTCGGGGAAAAACCAAATAAATTTTAAATGATTTACAACAAGCTAAAAACTTTTCACCTAGCGAAAAAGCAGTTGTTCAAATCGAATACATTTCGAATAGAGTGAATGATTGCGATTGCGACTAAAATGAATACAAACAAAATGGCGTGTACGCTAAGCAAACATCCTGATAGACATATTTGCTCCTCTGTTTCATCTGTGAAAACATACGAAAAGTAGATACATTTCAAATTGGACTTGTGGACTTCCTCTTTTTAAACTGACTACGTCACTGTGGTTACACTCAAAGAAAACTATTGCCTCATTTGCTTTTGTGCTGCGTCCTTCGTGCTGCAACCGGAACAGCAACTTCAAAAAATAATTTTTTCTTTGAAAGCGAAACGCGAAAACACGTTAAAGTTGTTAATTAGCAATGAGTGTGTTACAAAAAAAAAACAGGATTACAGAATTAACAACAACAAAACCAACAACACCGGTGGCAGCAGACAAACACTGAAGAGATCCGCTTCCTTTGGGAAGATGGGCAGGCAGGCATAGATTCGGTGGTATTATGATGGAAAAATGTGGAATAAATGTGCCGAGCACTACTTTTCGCAGTTGCAAGTTGCCTTGAGGTATTCTGCGAGGAGGCAAAGTGAGACGGCTATGACTACAGTCTATGGATGTGAAAGAGGCTGGGAGAGAGTGGAAATATATGAAATATATGAAAAGCAAATTAGTTTAATTTGAATTGCGTACAAACTGAAAAAAATTTGCCTCACCACACGTCACATGCGTTGTCATCATAAAAAGTTTACATTTTCAACGAATGTAATTTCGTTTGTGTGAGCGATTGCAGGAAAGTAATTTTAAATTAATTTAAACATTATTTAATGATAATTTATTTAATGCGTTTTTATTTGTTTAAGGTAAACTCAGAGCTTTGTAAGAGGATTTGCATAGTAAATGATATTAACGGAAGCAAAAAGTTAAATAAGTTTTTAAATTCGGCATTGGTGGAAAGTCGAATGAAGTGGGCATCTTAAAGAACATGCAAATTTAAGTATATACAGTCAATATATTTTTAATTCTGTTTTTATTTAATAAAAAAAAACAATTTCAACTAAATAATATAAGTAATTTTTAAATAATAAAAATACGGAATATTTTTGCTTATAAGGTATGAAGTTTAGTTTTTACGACATTTGAAGTCAGCAAAGGTAAAATTAAAGGGTAAAGATATTACGGTATATGAGAGGTAAATCGATTTAAAGGTTCGTGTTAAAACTATATTAAAGCTTTTAAAGCTTCAGCAAGGACAAACACCGTATTAATAAGAAGTGCAATTATGAATACCGTATTAACATTAAAAAAGACCGTAATATAAAAAGAACATTAAAATTTGCCAAAAAGTTATAAAGAGCTTTAAACTTTCACGACTGCAGGATAATTTGACCAAGTTGCTAGAAAAAGCCACGACAAAATTATTCCTTTTTTAATATTTAGTAAATCACTTATATTTTTGTTAGTATTTTTGTGAAGTAATGTACAAAATTAAAATTGACGCAATCCATCAATTTAAATTAATGCGACTAATGAAACAATACATTATGATAGACGAAATGTTTTGTTTTTATTGTGTTAGCTATGAGGATGAATTTTTATTCAAAGAGGTTAAGTTCTGCCGTTAATATCTTTCTATAAACAACATATTTTAGTTTATGTGCAAATCAATCAGTTAAATGCAGTGGCCCCACCAAAGATAAGTAAATACGAAATATTATATATGTAACTTATTATATAATCAACACCCAGCTAATTTTGTGAATTTATATTTCAAAAACAATATTTGTTATAAAATAAAAATTTATGTAATAAATCTAGGAATTAATTTCATAATATTTGAATACAGTTTAATTGCATTGCATTCAGTACCTCTTCTTTCATTTTGTTGTGACATTGAAATATGAAGTAACGGTTTATGCGCGTAAACCTTTAGAACGCCTAATCTGTTGCCAGTCTACACAGCACGTCACTCAGTATTAACAATTATTGTACAGAACAAATATTTTACAAATTATTGTTAAAAGTTATCACTCACTAACTTATAATTTTTGCTGAGCAAAATAATATGTAAATTCATTTTTTTCATGCTTTTTATTTTAAATAATTTAATACTTTTTAATAAACTGGTAGCTTTGAACTAACAGCTGACACCTTCTTACTTCAACTTTCATTTGTTTTCTGTTGGCTTTGCTTGGTATTTCATATACTGTTTCAAAACAGAGTTGATATATGAATGTATCTGTAACAATAAATTGTTTAAATTGATACACACCTAACATGTTCTACCTAAATTATTTAAAATTTTCGAATAATCTATGTATTTCAAACTTGTAATCATTTTCAAACTAATCTATTACTTTGTTCAATAACTTAATATTTAGAACTCAGTGCTAGCGCTCGTATGTGTAGAAACAAATTAAACTTGAAACGAAACGAAACAAAATACTTGCGCCAAAGCAGTTTGTGGGTATGTGAACAATGTATATTTGTGAAACCATTCAGTTTTCTGTGAAATGTAGTGCGTATAGGTTGTGGATGTGTGCTTGCTGCTTGTCGTTAAATAAACTTCGGTTTTTAATAGTATTAAATTAACAATAAATACGAAAAAAGGTTAATTTAAAAGTTTTATTATATAAAATATAATTTGTATGCATTTCTTGAGTAAAAAAGTAAATGCAAGCAATCGCAATATAAAAGTGAATGTCAAAGGTTTTTGTATGTGTAAATGAATTTATGTGCAACGGAGTGCAATAAACACGCTTAACAGCGTTTATAAACAATTTTTATTTATATTAATAATAATTTGTGAATTATTGCATTTAATCACATAAACAACCTGTGGAAATTAGTTCTTGCAAACTTGTTGTTTTATGTATTTTTGTGGTTTTCCGTGTTAATGTTTTTGCAAGATTCTGCCACAGCTGTTTGATTCATAAAAGTTAACAAAACATTCCGTGGGATATCAAATCAACTAAACATTGGTAATTATATACAAATACGTGTTTATAAAAAAATCATTCATATTTTTCGAAAAAATTTTGTATAATATTATTTAAAGATATTTCGTTAAAATAAAACAAATTTTGTGCTTTGTGTTTTAAAATGTCAGTGAGGAATTTTCATGAGTTTTTCATATGCCGGACTCCTTTATTGCTTTGGAACAGTGGAAAGAAAACATAGTGTTGCCATTAGCTTAAAATTAATTTATTTATGTGGAATAAGGTCTGTTGAATGCCTCAGAATGGCTCAAAATTTTAACTTAAATATTTTGTGCTTATACATTTTTTAAAAAAATTAATTATTTTATTAATTATTCTTATTTATTTTTTAAATTAAATCAATTAAGACGAAATTAATTTTTAACTGTAAGACAATATTAATTTAAATAGTGCTATGTATCAGAATAATAGGTTGCAGAAATTTGTACCAAATGTAATACAAAGCCTCCTAAATACCAGCGCCAATAAGTAATGTGATTAAGAAATAAACGAGTTTACTAAATACCAATAATTTAAAGACCAACTGCATCTATTTATTTCTAAAAGGCAGTGTGTCAGGTCCATTTCGATAAGGTTTTAGGTATTCCCCATTTGTTATAAACTAGAGCATATAGAATATGTTTAAAATATACAAATTTTAAGATAACCTAATTTCTGTCTTCATGCTGCTCTTACTACTATTTTAGAATGTCTTCTTAACACAATCGTCCAATACATTGAAATAATAAGGAAATAAAACGCCATCTTTTTAAATTGACTAATATCGACCTATATAGTGTTTGATAAATTAGATTAGATTAATGACTAAATTGTCAATATGTCATTTACTCTGTTAATACTAAAACTAAATCTATGAAAAAATCTGTTGACGCAAGCGGCGTAATATTTGAACCCATCACAGTATCAAACTTACCTTCTTTGAGGTACCTAAACTTGTCCCATGATATCATTTCCATTTTCAATTTATTACTTCTCTTAACCAATTGCTGGCATCTACTTAGTTATGATGAACATTATCTGTAGTTTCTAAGCTAATGAGTTGCTTGTAAAAATTTTTACATTAATTCCATCTGCTGTTCATTAGTAGACGCATGTAAGAACTTATTTTTGAGTGGGATATATTTATGTGTATCTATCACGACGTTAATTATATAACGCCTGTTGCTCAACAACGAAATTATGTACAGATTATAGATATATTGTAGAGACATATATTTAGCAAATAAATATAATCAAATACTAATGACATTAATTTAAAATATATATATTTTCGGTATAAAGGATCATATTAGTTTTTTGAATATATTAGGAGGCCTCAACTGAACTGAAAATAGTTTTCGCCGTTAATCTAAATATACTTATTATGAGAAATAGCCTAACAGCCTGAATTATTGCTTGAGAACGCTAACAACTAGCATTACGTGCACAAAATTAATCGATATATAAATGATATGGAATGTAATCCAGGAAAACCATACTTATAGATTTTTATTGTTTTTATAATCCTTACAATAAATACATTTATTACCAAACAATTAAAAATAAACATTTATTTGCAAAGTGTTTGTATTTCTCGTCTCGCCAGTTCCATCGCCTTCGATGCATTTAACTTTTTCAATTTTGCCAGCTGTTTTTGGCTGAGTAAGCAATACCATTTAGCACTATCTACATCTACGTATACAATCCAATTACTGCCGTTTAATTATCTTGCATATTTCAATTATTTCCCTTGAAGCCGATAAGAGGTTAACACGCGTTCACTTATCCGCTGCGCCTTCCAGTTGAATTGTGTGATCGTACGGCCAATGTCAATGATTTTTTACCGGTTTGAAATCGTGTCAGCAGTGTTTTTTGCTGAGCCGCGTTTTTTTCAACCGCACGAGTTTTGTAAATAAATAATTAAGAAATGGTTAATATTAATGTCAAAAGCAATTTCTTCAAGTTCTACTGCTTTGTTTCGGAATTGTTAAATCAATCAAAGACATAAAAATTTAATTTCTACTTTTCGTATTGTTTCTGTTCTGCTGCCTGACTTGGCTTGGCTTGGTTGTTTGGCTTGACTTGACTCATTTACAAGTTTCTCGGACACAAAACGCGGTCGCTTGGAATGCCTGGTGAGTTCGTTGACTTTGTATGCTATACTCCGCATAGGAAGCCGCTCAGTAGGTGCACACGTATTTGTTCACAGTCTCACAATCTACCGGTTTGCCGCTAATTTGAATGCTCTATCTCACGCTTCGGTTATGCAAGCAAGATCTTTATAGTGCGGCTAGGCATTTTCATTGTTTCATTAGCAACTTAAAAAATGATTGATTTCATTATCACGAAATGCTGAGCATTTCGGTTTTGATATTTTTGTTTCAATTTGCACGTTGAGCGCTTATCACTGCGGGAACTGATATGTTTAGTTCGCCGAATCTCGCGATGATAGCGCAATTCTCTAAGTGGAAACTAGATGAGTTCAACAAATTGAAGACTGCAATATTTGCAGGCATTTAAAAATTAATGCGCAAATAAACTTTTTGAAAATTGCGAATAGTTGTTGTAAATTACAATATTTTACAATTACAATTACAATATTTTACAATTACAATTACAATATTTTACAATTACAATTACAATATTTGCGAATATTTGTTGTCAAAAAATCAGAGACAAGATACAAAACTTTTCCATTAACAAATATTCAGAATACTTGAAACGAACTACTCGTTCTGAATGCCCTCTTCATGTGTATGTAAATTTTTTAAAAATGTTCTTTTAAAATTTCTAGTTTATATATATTCCTTCTGATGCATCACACTTCTTTCTAACTCAGAAGTGAAACTTAATTTTATAAAATAAAGTAAAAACTTCATGAAACGCTTAATCTGGGCGAATGAAGATGAAATGCAGCAATTTTTGGAATTTATTGAAAATGTTGCGGTTTCAAACAATTCGTAGTTATGTGCTGATATTTATTTACTGCGAACGCCGTATTAAAATTCAATTTGCAAACCAAATAACTCTTGCCAACACATGAAATGATTATAAATTATTTATGATTTGAATGCCAAATTTAATAAATTTCTGAGATACTACTACTTTGGTGTCCGATGCAGGCAACTGTGCCCTTTTCATTGCACTCAATTTTAAATATAAACGTTGCATGTGCATGTGCAGCTTTAACATTTATTTGCGCAGTAATTAAGCATTTCTTCCAGTTGACGGAGTGGAAAATGCACAATATTTGCACCTAAACTTCACACTTACGCCTGTGACTGCCAAAGAGCAACCGCAATGTGGAGCAGTTTGTGCTTCATTGCAAATTTCAGGTTCAAAGTAGGAACACTATTTTAACCGTTTCAATTTTAAAAGTAATTAAATTCAAAATTTAATCACTTCCCTCCACTTAGTAATAAAATTTATTTTCGAAGTGCCAAAAACTAATATTTTTAAACACTTCACTGGAGCTAGCTTCTGTTAATAGATAAAAATAATTATAAATTGTATGTCCTATGACAGGAATTCTATTTCGAATAGAAAAAGTGGTAATAGAAAAAATATGTCCAATTCGAAAATATAATTTCTAATAAAAAGAAATTGAACGTACAGTTATTTCGAGTGTCAATTAATTAATTATACTTAATTTGTCATTTTTTGTTATTTATTCGTAAACAAGAACAAATGCATAAACCACAGCTACGAGTATATAAACTTAATTAACTATAAAAAATTATTTTTTTACAAGTTTATAAAGATTTAAAATAATCAATTTTATCACAGAAAATATTTGTTTAAAACATTGTCAGATGGAAGAATGTTATGAAAGCATTTTTTTATGTTTTATTAGTGCTTTTAGATGACGTTTTTTGACTTTATCAATTCTCACTTAAATGTTTTTGGATTCCCGTTTTATGTGCTATTAGTTGGTACTTTGACTGTTATTAATTTAGGGAAGGCGCTTAGTATGCAAATGTGGTAGTATAATTCATAGACAATATTTACTGTGTTTAGAATGAATCGCCAACATTTCGCTGTAACTTCGCATGTGTAATCATTTGTAATCTTTGTATATCAATTTTCTTATAATTTTATTTATTTTTTCATTATATTCATTCTTTCTAACCGATACCAATTTTTAATGTAATATTTCAACAAAAAAAAAGCTATCTGTATTAGAATTTGAATATCAAATACTGAAAATTCATGCTGTAGTGCTAAGTAGTTACACTGCTCAGCCATTGCCTATGTTTTAATTTCGTGACTATTCTTACAATTATTTTTCTAGATAAATAATAGTTTTTTACGACATATCTCTCGTTTTGTCTCTTAAATCTGATTATTGCTATTATATTTCGTGTTCTTATTATTCTATTCTGATTACTCTTCTTTAACATGCCTTTGGTTGTGGTATAAAAACCTTCTGGTTTTCCTTAATTTGAATTAACTACATATTGTGGTGGCTACGTAATTTATGAGTTATTAAAAAATTAAAACAATTAAGAATTGTGTAAAAAAATTTTTATCATAAAGCGTTATATGTATATTGTGCTGCTTCCGCTGATATATAGGATATTATGTAAACTTTGAATTTTCCTTTCATGTTGTTACTCACATAATATTATATATGCTTCAATTTGTTCTAAGCCTCTTTTTTTACAAACGCTTGTTTAATTTTTTCTAAACAGCAACTTTTTTTTATCAATAAGGTAAAAGCTATCTACAATAGTAATAATGTCGGAATATATGTACGAATAAATTACATAAAAGCGAAGAAACAAACTTTTAAAGGGTTTAGTTTCGTTAAATGAATGTAAATGATAATATGTACCAGAGATCTCACGCAGGTATGAGTCTATTGATTGTACTTTTCAATACTTTTGTCTACTTCATTCCAAATTATCTATTCTAAATTATTTTCATAATTTTTGAATACATTCACGAATGCTTAAATTAATTTCATGGTAGCTTAGTTCCTGTTGTGTAAATTGGAATACACTAATTAAAAACTAAATTGTCTTGCTAAAAGTTCTTATATGCGATTAAAATGCTTTTCTTTAGACAAGCAAATACTTTTTTTACTTCTAACTCCTAACTTACATTAGAAAGCCTTTTTTATGTACAGAAAAGATATTTCCTCTTAAATTGTTTTAAGTTCTTGTACTCGTATTTCCTATCCTTTACTTACTTTTCCTCATTTATTCATAACTCATGACTCTATATTGTACAAGTTAGATAATAGCTGCACTTGATATTAACAAACTGTATAAAATCTTTAAATGCACTGTGACATTAAAAGGAAATTTAAAATTGCAAGTGTTTGCTCTGAGCTCGAATCGCATTTGAACGTAGCATCCACAAAGGAATTCAATACCCCAAACGATGCTTTTACTCCATTTATCAACGTCGCTTTTTTTCTTTTATCAATAAAAACCAACTTAGTTGCTAATTACCGTTTTATAATGTAATACCATCTCATTACTTGTTTCGGTTCGGCAGTATCTCCCACACATCTGTCTTTCGAAAAAAAGAAATAAGTGAAGGGATGGGAGAATTCGTACAAAGCCCGTATCAATTAAAATGGATAATCGAATGATCGTATTCAAAAATTTATGACAATTGAAATGTTTTCTTCTGTACTGGTGCACATCTTCTCCTCTGCTGCTGCTTCTGCCAAGCACCTTTCCATCTCATGAACTGCACTGTAACTTGGCACTCGACTTGAACTGTTAAAAGACAATAAAAAGGTAAGACATCTTCACCGATTTTATCTTTTCATCTTCTCCGAGTCGTTCGTTATTGTATCTTACACCAGTATTTGCTGTTCGCTGTTCGCTATTTGCATTTGCCATTGCGAAGCGCATTACTTTTGACATTACAGACGAATGCATTTTACAATAAATTAAAATTTAAGCTATTTTATTGAACATTTGCCATTCCATAAACTTTGCATGCTTTAAACTCACAGCTTGATTCCTGTAATGACGCCAACAGTAATGATGTTGGTCATGATGATGATGACGACAATGATGATGGAGATGGCGTTGCCAGCGTTGCCAACGTTACTAGCGATATTGGCGATGACGCTGGAATATATTGGTTATATTTTTAGTGAATAATGGCAACATGAATTTTCACTTTATGCTGACTTTCAACAAAAATCTATTGCTTTTGGGTTTGTGGGGTAATATAGAACAGCATAGGTGGCTGATGTTTGGCACCCGCCATTGTCAAAAGTAAAAAGACCATAAATTTCAAAGCCAAAGGGAAGATGTTTTATAGTTTTCGCTCTAATACGTGACAATTTTCAATAAAAATATTTAAAATCTAATCTTTAAACTAGAAAAGCATTGAAGTAAGTTTAGCAATGAAACGAACAATTAAAATTATATAAGCTCTCAAAATGGAATGAATCTGTGTAAAATCTGAAATTCATTGCCATTATTCCAGCTCGCAATTTACATTCGTGTTCATACATTTTTAAATTGGAGCACAAACCCAGCCAGCACTCAGTCTCGAACAGTTGGGAACAGTACTTCCTCAAACTGCAGTTGTATCATTTTTCAAAGGTTAAAATGGAAATGTGAAATGCATCCGTCTATCTCCTCATATCTCATTGTTCGCTTTTTAAAATATGTCAGTCAAGTTAACAATTATTTGTTTTCACACATGTCAACCAACGGTGTGTGTTATTTCTATGTATTCTAATGTACATGGCGGAGGAGGGGGAATATGCAAATACTCAAATGTTCCGTTTTGTGACCGAATTTCTAGATATTTTTAAATTCGTATGAAATCCAACTGGTTTGAATATTCCATCTGCTTGGCATGCAATTTTAATTCTGTAATGTGAAATTTTTAAACGAAAATCACGAAAAAGTAATAAATATTAAATTGACTCCGTTAAGATATAGTCGTCGAAATACTGTAGTTTTCCTAATCATAAATAAACTTTAAATAACAGCTGCTCTCTAATCTGAGTAACAACCAAAATTAATTGGACTTCATAAAGTTTACGAGCCCATGTAATGGAAATGCATAATTAAAGAATAATAGAACTCTGGTTTTCAAATTTAATTACGATTTTAACCTTGAAAACAGATTTTTTTTATATAAGCCATTATTGAAAAGTTTATGAAAAAATGCTTTTTTTTCGAAATTTCAAAATCTAAAATTTTGAGATGTGATAACACGTAACTGCAAAATTAGTACTCTAAAATACTTAAATATGTTTGTTGAAATCGAAAAACCATCCTACAAAATGATAACAAAGTTACCCAAGTTTTTCGGCATTTCTTAAATGTTTAAATAGACTTAAAGGCTCACAATATCTATGTCGCATGATAAAACTGATAATATTTTTACTACTTCTAAAAATAGATACCACTAAAGTTAAACAATCTAAATTGAACAGAACGTGTACAGTACATATTTTTATCATTGTAATTTACAATAGTTTTTGAATTCCGTAGGAATTTCAACCATGGTCGCAGTGCTTCGCTCCGATGAAAGCCAATACCACATTCATAATTAGATTTTTGATTACCTGTTAACGTCTCCTAAAATAAATACAACTAGCTTCATTGATTGGTAAAATTACATATGCAGTACTGGAATCCAAAGGTAAAAACTTTTAGAACAATAGTTAGCTCACAAAATAGTTAGATAGTTAGATCACAAAATTTGAACCATTCTAATTAAAAAAGTAATATTCTGTTGGTTCATATGAAAAATGTTCAGATATATAGAAAAGAAATGATGGCGATTAATCAAAAACTGATATATATGTAATAAATGAGAATCTCTACAGTGAGTTATCAATTTGAGATGATTAAATTCTCTTTTGATTGAGTAGTGATTAACTTAAGGAGCCAATAAATCATTAACATTATATTCATTTACGAACATTTTATTGTGTTTAGTACCATCGTTTTTTAATTGATAACTTCTTACTACTGTCTTACATTATCAAACCAATGAAACTTCATTCGATCTTTAGTCCGGTTGGTTTTAAGTCCAAGTTGTTTTCTGCTAATATTCATTTAAATTGCATGGTGTCCCGCTGCGTTTTTGCAAATTCAAATACATCTAATAATTGTTTTTGTTTATTTTTATGATCACATCAAAATTCTGAATTCCTTAAAAAATGTTTAATTCATTTTGATATCCTCTGAAAGTTATCTTATCTCGTTTCTAGATACTTAAAGGTACTTAGAAATGTGATCAGTTGAGCATCAAGACAAAAGAGGCATTGGCATTGACTTACCAAGAACAAATTTTGACATTGACACTGTAGACTTAGACTGCATCAAATCTTATGTGCAGATTTGCTGAACTGATACATAAAAGCTAAAAATACTTGAAAAAATACTTAATATCACACAAAAACATAAACAATCCGGCTGCTATACTTGAAGGCAACATACCTGGATGGAATTTTATAATGAAAAGCAGTACTAGTAAAGACTAGTATAATAGATCTCCTAGTCGCGATACTTTATATATCCTACACTCAAACATTTTATTATTTAGCAACACCTAAATAAAATAGGTAAACCTATTTACAATTCATAAACAATTTGAAAATAAAATAAAATCTAGCGTTATAACGTTCTAGTAATTGTCATTCTGTGATCAAATAATACGCATTCGAATTCATTAAAGATTTCTACAAAAAGTTAAAATGTTCATATGTTTAAGTTCCAACTATAATGAGATAATACATCCTTTCAGTTTTAAAACCTACTTTTTAATTTTATTTTTAGTGATGACGGATAATATAACAGAAAGTTGGCTCCATTACATGATCGTGATCATAACTTTAATTCCGGTTTATCTGGCATTTCAATTACTGAAATTTTTTGGCTGGGAGCTATTTGTTAACAATTAAAGGCAGAAGAAAACAACTATTTGTAAGTAAAATTTTTTATTACTATATTATAAATTAATCTACATATAAGACACTAAAAAATTGCTTTTAAAATAGAGGAATGGAGAATAATTAATATTTAAAGTATTTAATGAATATGAATATTCGGATTCGAATCAAAAATCTCGAATAGATCGAATTATTTGAATATTTGGTTCGCATCAAGTAAAAAGTTCAAATAGTGAAAAATTATAAATCAGTCGAACTAATTGAATATTTGAAATGATCATATATATCTTTAAAGATTTTTGTTATAAAAGATCATCATTTAAGTGCTACAAAATGTAAATTTTTTTTTTTCATGTTTTATTTCATAACATTCAAAAAAACTCAACAATTTTAATAATTTATCAACTTGTGAAAACTTAAAGGAAGAAAAAGTGGAAAATTACAAACTTTTGCTACAATTAATCAGTTCTGCTTCAACTTTTTTGTTTAAAATTTTAGCTTCTTGTATATTAAAATAGCAGTACATTTGCTGCAAACACCCCTCTCGTCTTCGTACACAATGAAATTGTTTAATTTCTTAATGTAGTGAAGGTTCTGTGCAGAGCGCAGGAATGTTAAATTTCAGACTTCTACTAACTTCACAGACTTCAGTTTTGTAATCACTTTTACGAATTCTGCACTTGCTCCAAAGCTTGTTTCAGTAGGCAAATTTCATATTACACAACACAGAAAAATTCATTTGTTTCCGATCTTTTCGCATATTTGCTCTGAAACACACATCTGTACAGGTAGGTGTTTTGTAATATTTCAAGAAATATGTGATTTATTGCAAGAAGAAGAATTCCAAATGTTCCAAACTTTTTCCAAACTTTGTTATCGAGTTGGTTGCTTCATGCGAAAATGATTGAACGTATGTTCACAGAGTAAAGTTTCCACATACTGCGCTCATTATTATTAGTCTTACAGAATGTAAGGATTTCTCTAGAAAGTGAAATAATTTCTTTTCTTATCCTTTTTTCCTGCATTGCTTAAACTGTATTAAAAGGCATTTAAAATTAACAAAAAAAATTAAATTAGTCAAAAACCACAAAACTGCAACTCAAGTAATTTTTAATCCCATCAAAGTACTTACATACGTACACATATATACATACATACCATACCTACATATGCAGTAATCATAATTTTATGTGGTCTCTGTTGTGGAGCAATTTTCATCGCAAATTTATGTTTAATAACAAAAGTTTGGAAACGTTCTGAAACGGTTCTGTTTGAGTTCGGTTCCGTTTAATGTTGTTTAGGTTTTTCATGAGGTTTCCCACAGCCAACAATACTCAATTCAAATTTATATTTATTACGGTAATTTAATTGTACGCTTAGAAAAGTTTTTTAGTTTATTTTTTTGTTTTAACGACTCGTTTGGATATGTGTCGACAATGTTCTTAGGAATACAGGGAATAGAAAATGTTGTCATAAAATTATATTAGATAAATACAGAAATCAGGAAAAAGACGGTGGTAGCAAAAGTTTCTATAACTTTTATTTATAAAAAAACTTTTAGCATAAATTTGGTGGACTGGTGGCTTGGTATTTTAACTTCGACTAAGATTCCACGTGTTAACGTTCTGAATATTTTAAAATAGTAAATATTATAATTTATTTTAAAAATAAGAGTAATATTAATATAGGATTGCCACACGAGTAGAGATAATAATAGGAGACACGGGAGACATGGTTTAAATACAAGAAAGTCGTCGTTTATGGTGGCCAAGACTCTACACCCAACCGTAGAATGAATTATAACCCGAATATTAAGTTTATTAAAATATAGGTATTTTCGTACACTCAAAATGTCTAAGGATATTTAAAACCGATCAATCATTAAATTCTGCCACAGTTTTGCATTTATTCAAGGATATTCTTTTTAACATATTAGCTAATAATTATGATTATTAGCTTTTGATATTGAAACTTCGATAGCATTGGAATCGAGTTATTTAAATTATTCAAACGAGTGCAAGCTTGTCGTGGAAGTAAATTCGGTGCGTAGAGGTGATATCGGTTCTATGATATCATAGACTAAATGATATCGGTTCGCAATCGATGGATTCGATTACTAGTTATGGTCCACGTAAAGTGTCATAATGTATATAGAAATGAATAAAATAAGCACATTTTTCAATTTAAATATTTAAAGTCTTATTTATTTAACTAGGATACCGTATCAAAAGTTACTAATTATCATACATGGATACATTTGATCACTTTTTAGAGATCACTGATGCGTTAATTTAAGCAACTGAATAATATTACCTTGTATTGGATTTTATAAATTTTTCTTTGAATAATTTATATGAATCTTTTCTCTTTCAATGTATTAATTTCCTGATTGGTTGTAGTAACAGGACAGCGAATAACAATATCATTCCACTTCCCATAATTAATGAATTTTTATCTTTTTACTAGAGAATTCTTCTCAATTCTCTACTCAAACCCTGAAGTGATTAAAACTAAAATTATTCTAATGAACTAAAGTAATTTAACAGATTTTTCGTCCTTGCCGATGAACAGTCCGACAAACTATCAAAAAATCACTTCCTTATAACACCGTTACTTCTGAAATCGAAAGCTGGGGAAACTTAGCAGAAATGCTTGATTGTTTCTATTTTTTCAAAGTTCCAACAACTTCTATTATGAGTATAAAAGGAATAGGCTAGCGGCTAAGGATAGCTTTATAGTGGACCCTGTTAACAACTTCCCAGAATATGGTGTTTCTTTACATCGGCTAGGTTGACCGAGAAGTGTCTTTCACTTGCTAATACAAAATGTAGTAGTGTTTTTTTTAAATTTTACTACGTACGTTTTTAATAGAATCATTATAAAATATGATAAAAATATTTAAGTATTCCTTTTATATATTCTTATATAATTAATTTTTTAGCTTAGGATAGATGAAATGCTATAAATCGATTTAAAACTTAAAAATGTAAAATATTTACAAGTAAATTTGCATTAATTTTAAATAATACTGTATGTTATGGAATATATCGAAAATGTTAGTTATTTTAATTATAATTTCATTCTTGTTTGATAAAGTAGACTGAGCAATGCATAATTCCCAGTGCTTCCAATTCTATTTGATATGCAATCATGCAATCAAGCAATCCACCTGCTTTGAATTTATAACAGAGAAAAGTCGTAATACAAAATTACGTTTAGCATATCGCAAAACATATCCTCGTACATATTTAGGTTCCTTATATGTATCTTTTGCAGCAAGCTTCTACAATTCCGAACGACAAGTTTGCTGCACTTCTGAGTGTTAAGATGCCTCGGCAACTGGTTTATTTTCAGTAAAACGATTGAGTTATATTTTCAATGCGAAATAAAATTGATTGAAACTTATATTTAAATAAAATAAATTTAAACTTTTCTAAAAATTTGCCTCCGATCCCTTGTTCTTTACGTGATAACTTTGAAAAGTAATAAATTCCATTAACACAACAACTGAGTGCGGATATCAGTTATGATGATGTGATGATGTGATGATATGATGATATGATGATGTGGTATTAATTTGAAGTGAAGTTTAAATATTGTATTTTATTTATCATGAAATTTTATTAAATTTAAACGAAAGTAAACACATGGGCAAAAGTCAACAGATAATCAAACTGTTCAAAATGACGACGAAATTTGAGCTTTTTCCCTTGTCAGTCCACGAGTATTTCATTTGGAAATACATATTTTCAACTTTTCAACTTGTCAGCTTATCTGAAATGTTATGCAAAATTTTCCCATAAATTAAACTAACAAAATAAATTTTGCTATTGCATGCTGCAAATATGTTTGAACGGGAATAAATATGTTAATCATCGGTATCTGTTGTTTAAAATGGTCTCAATGGCTTTTAAATCTGCTAAATATCTGTTTTTTTCATTTGCGGATTTCAATAATGGAAGTCATAAACGCCACTTGTGTATTTAATGGCTTTCATTCAGCCGTAACCAGCATTCCTACGATTCATTCATGTTTTTAATATAATTTTAACTGCACATTACGGTTGGTTCATCCAGTGGGTCTCTGCTGCTCGTCGATCCAATACGGCTCGAGCAGTGAAGGGCTTTTATAATTGCATCAATTCTGCCCTAGTCCAAGCTCCTTTCGCTCGTTTTCGTTCCTTTTGCCCTTTTGTACCACAGTCTGTTTGCTTTGCAGCAAATCAAAATATTTGTACGATTTTTGCGCTTCATTGAGTGCTGTAAGTTGGTTGGTTTTTCTTTCTTTTTTTGTCACTTTTGCCTTGCTTCCCACTTATTTCTTTCGTGCCATTACTATTATTATTTTTTTAATAGAGAGATCAAAATGTCAAACCATGTGGAAATGAGTTGTGCTATGACGGCACTACGGCACGACACTATTGACCTCACATTGAACGCCGGCACTGCCCAAATGAGGGCTTTGAATTTCCTCTTTTTTCCATCACCAATTTTGCCACCACATGCCTAGAGAGATCCAAAAATCAATACATTCACCTAAATTTATCAAAATGTGAACGAATTTTCATTATATTTTTTTTTTCTTCAAACGAAAAATAACATTCAACTTTGGGTAAAAGTGGGCAGAAGTCGCACCCAAATTACATTTGCCTCCCTTCTATAGCGACGTTCCGAACAAAAAAGTTTTACATTAAGGAACAGCGATTAATTTGTTTAAAAGATTAAAAACGAGAATGAATTTTTTATGAGTAACCTTTGAAGTGCTAATATTGTTCTTAAAGTTCAATTTACGTTGTGCTTAGCCCATTAATTTGGCCAATTTATTAGCGAACTTGCCAAAGAGCCTTATTGTGCATCAGTTTACTCTGAATTTGTTGGGTTTCCAGAAATTTAGAGCTGAATACGTAATGACTTTGAAATGCTACTCAAATTAGCCGCGCGTTTCGTCTGTCTGTTGCGGATTATGTTTTTGTAACAGATTTTAAACTTGCAGAGAAAAGATATTTCAAATATTTGTTATTTACTAGTATGCAGTAAAAAATACCTAAATAAACAACGTACAATATTCTCAGTTTAGATTTATTCACAGAGATAAATTTCCATTAACAAAATTTTTAGTTTGATATTTCATCAACGTTACCAAGTTACCGAGCAAAATATTAAATATTATATTAAAGGTCAGAACATTCGTAAACGTAAATATGGTTAAAGGTTTAGTAACATCAATATAGTAATATTCATATGTGAAGTGTAGGTGAATATCTAGAGTGTTGCATTCAAAATTTTTACTCCAAATAAATAAGTATATTAACTATAATAAAAGAAGCTGTTATGCATCTCATTAAGTAAAAATAAATTACTTTATATTAATTATACTTATTAGTAATTCAAAAATTAATATATAGATATAGATTCAAGTGTTTATAATTTTTATTAATAGTTATTCTATTTTTTGAGGGTTTTTTGATTTGACTTGCTTTATCTTGCAATTACTAAAATATTTTAAAGGTTGGCTAAATATTTTAAAAGCTAGTGCACTGTGATGTAACTTAAAATCAATTTATTAAGAGAGATTAGTAACTATTGTTAATTGAACAAAAAATAAAAAAATATGTAAAAAACGTATCAACGTTCTACGTTCTATTGAAGTTCATCTTCACTTAACAAATTTTGAAGGATTTATGTTTAAAAGACTGACTCAAAATAACAAACCAATAAAACCAATAAAAATACCTATTCAATTATTCAATTATTGAAGTACGAAAATTAGCTATATGCAAAGGGAAATTATTTGAGCCTTCCTGCTTATTTATAGCTTAATCAAACTTAAAAATTAAAAATGATATACATTTAATTACAATTTTTAATTTAAAATGGATAAGAACATGATTAAAGCAATAACAGTGAAATGAAAATTAGATGAAACAAACTATAATTGTATAGAAAGTATGACCCAATCCTGTGTTTTATTCTATCGATTTGCTTAAATAACTTAATCAATTTGACACAAATATTTTATCCGCTGTCATAATCTTCTTTCTAATATTATGTATATTTAACTTTCCAAAGAGGTTGTCCGTGTTCTTTCTCATAAAACTTCTCTAGGATTTCTGTTTTGACAAAACTTCTAAATGTGGTATTCTCTTAATGACTTCCATTCATATCCAACTATCCGACATCTCATATTATTGACGTAGCTTACGATGCTTCCTGTTTCGACCTCCTAGACAACAGGAGACTGAACTTATAAGTAAATTATGATATGTTATCCATACAATAGATCTTTCAAATCGCAGTGCCTGGTGGCTTTTCATGTTAATTCTCTGAATATTGTAATATTTTTTTAATACTATCAACTAGTTCATTTCAAAAGATTTTAATTAGTCCTGTCATGTTGCATTTAAAAAAATTTGCTTATTTCCATAATGAGAGATTTATATATAGTAGACTTTAATTTAAGCAACATATTAAATATATAATCCTATTTATACCGAAATAATTCATCTGCTGACACATGCGAGCAAAATAAGTTTCAAACACACTCGGTCGTAGATATTTGCTTTTAACTCATCCAAAATATATTTTATTGGCAATAACTTTTGCTCTTATCAACTTTGACTGCTATTTTAATTTTCCGTAATAATTTTTGGAATTATCTGCTTTCATTGCACATGAATCGATCGAACTTTGCATATGAACGGGGCGTAATTTAAAAATATAAATCAAGACCGCCCGTCGCATGCAGATGAGCTCTGGTATCGAAATATACGAGCAGGAAGCACTCCAAGTGGTGACAGGAGAGCAAAATAAATTTTCGTTAAATATGCACATTCTATTTTAACTTTAAGTTCCATTTAAGCATAAAACTTTATAAAAATAATGTCTATATGTTACAATTTTCCACATTCGATGCTTCTAATTTTCATATTTCATGGCAGTACAGCATTAGAAAATTGTTTGATTAAAATTAAAATTTCAAACTAATAAAATTTTTAAAGCTACCAGAAATGGCATTCCATTTATTTGTTCTAATTTTATTGTTTAATAAAGAATTAAGTGCCTAAACGAAAGTTAAACAAACTACCCTCTTTCGCAGTTCCTCAGTTGTTTCATTACTGTTAAATTCCTCATGGCAAAATATCCTGACAAGTATTATATCAGTCGCACTATTCAACTCAGATATAGGTTAGGTTAGTTTAGAGTGACAGTCTTTTGCCAAAAGTCCATTTGTGCTTAAATAAAAAAGATTCCCAAAGGGATCGCTGAAAGGCACGACTCTTCCATTCAACTAAAAGTGAACCAATTTGACAACTCTATAAACTTGATCAAATCCCTTATTTTGCAGGACGACTGCTCTATTAGTTTGGGAAGAAAAGATGCCTCAAAGACATCAAATCTTTTTTTACCCAGTGGTGGACACTGACACAAAGTCATAAGTCCTAGACAAAAGTCATACAGTAAACCCAATTTCATTTCATATTTTACTAGTATGCAGTAATCTGTCAATACCGATATAGTACTGTTGAGTAGGTAACACTTTAGTTGAAGCAACTAATTGTTGAGTTTCTTGTCCAGTTTGGACTAGGTCGATCTAGTAATCTGATTGGAGCTATACTGAAATATTTTTATTTGATTGCCAGTTTGGTCTTTACAAGTAGGATATCAATATGCGATAAATGAATGTCTATGACCAAAGTGCCTGTTTTGGCTAGCTCGTCTGCTCTGCACTTGCCTAAAATATCTCTGTATCTATATACACTTGTAAGCTGATACGTGTACCTGACTAGTTAATAGAAGCCGGCAATCTGGAACTGTTACGGATGTAGCTGTAGCGTTTACCAGAAATTTGATAGCATCTTGGCTGTCTGAGAAGATTACGATATTCAAATCGAGGATATTTTTGCTTCGGTTGTTGTTGCCCAATTTGTTGCATAGTGAATCGCCGTTTCTTTTGCCTGAAAGACACTCGGTAATCAAAAAACCTTATTTAGGGGAAAATATGCCACTGCCGACTCTTTTATATATTTTGGAGCCATAAGTGTAAACTTCTACTGTGTTAACAGAAGCTATTCTATTTAGAGTACAATCATCCCTACTAGATATGAGAAGAACCCTTAATCGAAGTTTGAGTTAGAGCAAATGTAATCAATCGAAATGGGGACTGATACATCCTAATTTGTTGTGATGACGTATCGTATGTCAATTCCAGACCAGCGGAAGAGAGCATTGAGTCTGGCTGTCATTAATCAATCCAATGAAGCTAAGCGAAAGTGCTTTTATGGGAGTGGAACGTAAAATTCTAGCGATTTGCAAAGCGGTCATTCTTCTAATTTTTATTTTATGTACGTCGAGTTTTTAGTGGCACGCCACCAAAAGATAGTCCGGTTAAAAATGATTGATTTAATGATAGCTATTAAGAGTCAGAGCATAATTTAATGTTGAAGATCATAACTGTGGCCTACAGTTCTTCTACAGCAGTAAGTAGCACATGTTGCTTCACTGACTTTTTCAGTTAGGTTAGCCTTCTAACGGGAGATAACCTCAGATACAATATGGAATTTAGTATTCCAAAATTGATGAGTTAACTGTTTGACTATCCAAATATGTGACTGCTACAGTATAACAGAGACTTTAATGTTACGAAAAAATTTAAATATCTCTTTAAAAAATATTTTTATCTGGATGGCTGAAGTTATTTTAACTCCTTGAATCTCATTGACACTTTGTCTACGTCTAAGTTTCGTTTCATCAAAGAACTAAACAAATTTAATTTAATTATATTTCTTTCTATTTGCTAATAAGTTATGAGAAATGACTTAGTTGAGTTTTATTAAATGTAAAAATACATCATTAAAGATTTTCAATAGAGCATAATAATAATTAACCTTAAATTATAAATTATGATTTTTAAATTTTAGAAATAAAAATTTAATTTTTAATTACAACTATTAATTCTATGAAAAAATTTGAAAATGGCAATGAAATAATCTTTTTCCATTTATTGAAATTGTTTCTGTTTTGTGTCATTAACAATTGGAAATTTGTTTTGATCGGAATAAAAACTGTGTTAATATTTTATCTACATATATTCATATTTTTATTATATGATATCAAAAAATTAAGTATAAATTGACTTTAGATTTTGTTTTTCATCAACAGGAAATTATTATGTTCGAAAGATTTTATAAGATTACCAATGATTTCTAAAATGAGCTATACTCGTATATGTTTTGAAATAGAAATAGAAGTTTTGATGTTCTAGTATACCAACAACTGAAACTCCAATATACATCTCATATTCACCTGATCTCATTATTGATTTTCATGTAAAAAAAGAACAAGTAATACAACGCATTACAATCTTTTTTCAAAACGTATATTAATAGCACAAGACAAACAAGAAATTTAAAATAACTAATTAATTCTAATCTTTATCAATATTTTTGTTTCTAATGGCTTTATCACCGCTACTACAAAAAGCTGTTTTCATTTTTTTCTTCAAAGAACTAAACTAAGTGAAGGAAAAGTTCACTCAAAGTTCAATTAGTTATGTAAAATGTATTCATGATAAATTCAAATTTCTATTTCCAGTTGAATAGCCAGACGATACTCAGAGGACGACACCCACAACAACTCAAAAAGTGAATTCTAAACAAAGAACAAAGACAATTAAGGAAAAGGTGTAGAAGCGACAATTGCAAAAAATCAAAGTGATAAAACAAAAGACGACAAAAAGGACATCACAATTACCGCAAAACACAGAGCAGAATTAGTAACAAAGCATACAAAACCACCAAAGAACCCACAAAGCAAAAGCCAACAATTTCCACAAGGGAAACTTCATTATAAATAGGAAAAAATTATGAACATTATCCTTTATCTAAAATGTTAACACAAAACTGTACACAGCGTGCGCAACTTAAAGATACAAGGACGAAAGTGTTCATAATTAAAGCCAGAAAACCAGACTTGAACACAAAGTGTTGAAGCATATAAAGGACCGGACCAGTTGTCAATTGTTTTCACAACAGCAAAAACACGAAAAGACCTAAACCGGAAATAAATTTCAAACACACCTAAACCAAACACACTTAGGAATAGAAACTAAACCACCTGACGACGTAAATTAGTTTTAATAAATTTAATTAGTATTGTTCCGCTGCTGCGTTTATCAAAACCATAATCAAAATGCGTTTGCCTTATCGTAATAAGAAGATTACCCTATGGGTGATGTTGGCCATTGTTGTTGTCACAATGTTCGTGTTCAAGTTCACTGAGCTGCGTCCTACATGCTTCTTCAGGGATGAAACACAGGACAATTCACTCATGGCAAGAGAAGAGGTAAGCAAATAACTTGATAACTAATGAAAAGTAGCAACATATTTGCTTAGTTTCAATGATTTTATTTCTCACATTTAAATGAGTTATGAACACTCAAATTGCCGCTATAATATTTCATTTTAATATTAAACAATTTGTGCAGGATATACAAAACAAAAAAAGAATATAATAGAATAAACGTTATCCGATAATAAGCAAAAACTTCAGTTACAAATCCCACTCAGCAGATGTCAAATTCATTTGACCAAAAAAACATTGCGACTACAGAAAAGACTAAGAAGAAGAAAAGTGAAGACATTCTACCTGCTCGAAGGTAGTTTAAGCTTTTTATGGAGTCAGCATTCAAGAATTTCCTCAGCGGAAAACTTTTACCATGGAGACGCATTTTCTTTTTATGTTGTTTTATGGTTCTATGCACTTTTCTTCAGAACTGAAACGCAACAAGAAGATAAATAATAAAATGAGTACTTCAGAAAATAGTAAAAATATACTCGAAAACATTAATTTTATTTTCTGCTACTGCATTTGTTGCTTTATAAATTGGATATTATTATTTATCCTTGGTCTGTGCTGCCTTAAGCAGCTGACGCACACGTAAATTTACCCCAACGTGAAGGAGCAGCATTTGCTGGCACAACTACATCACTGCACTGGCAGTTCAGTTCTAGTCTAATATTTCAAGTGCACTTGAAGAGCTTAAAGTATCTGTGGTAACATAGGGTAGAAGCGAGATCCTTCTACCTTCTACCTTCTTTATTGCTGAGCAACGACGGGTTTGGGGTTGGGGTTAAACTTTGTAAATCTTAGTCGTGCTTGCAATACACAAAACATACTTTTCATTATAAAAATTATGCACTACTAACGAATAAACAAACTTTATTATTTAAATTAATTCTAATAAAAATACTTTTATTTTCTGGCTATACGCAAGATTTTCTTCTCTATAGCGCTCTTTGCGTTTCGTATGATGTATATCAAAGAACATCAGTGGAAATAAATTTTCTGAGTTCATTAAATGGTTTAGGTGTCATTTAGTATTGGCAACAAACAGCCACTCAACCAATAATAATTTCCATACAGTTTACTACAGTATGCATCCGTATGGCATAATTAAATTTAACAAATTTAAATGATTTGCATACTAGAAAAATCTGTAATACCTAAATGAATGATGTCCACATCAATACATACAATTTAATTTTATATTTTATTTCACTATCTAAAATACATGGAATTTTGAGCGAAAAGTAAAAAATCACACAAAACTCTGGACCGAAGTTTTTGTATTAAGAGGTCATAAATCCGCCAAAAACACTTCGAATCTAAACGATATGAGAAGCTACCATTAGTTAAATTTTTTAAATATAATATTTAGTTATCCTGTTAATACTTTTTAATTTTTCTTTATTTTTGTAGAAATATGTTATTGGCGAAAATCAAAAAATGTATTCATACAACCGAGATATGCCGTTAATATTTATTGGTGGCGTACCAAGGTCAGGAACAACGTTAATGCGTGCCATGTTAGATGCGCATCCGGATGTAAGGTAAGATCATTAATTTATTAATTAATTTGCTTTACAATTTTAAATCTTCCAAAAACGTATTTCTTATATGGATTGAGATAATCTATTGCTGTTAGCTGGTAATGTATTGTCTATACATTGATTGTATGAAATAGCTATTCTGATTACTCCGGACCATATCAGATGTGTAGTTTGACATATATGTTGTTCGGGGCATCTTTTGACCTCATTTTTGAGGTGTTTTGCATAATTCTATTGAATTCTATTGTTGGTATGGATTGTTGGTACTTTATTCCTATACATACTTTGATGTTCTGACAACACCAGTAAAAGACATAAAGGCTGCTTGACTGCTGCTATAATGGAAATATTCGTGCCAACTATTTCATTGTATCGAAAGTATTTAATAGCTAGATATATCCTAGCAACCTGCTGCTGGAAAATCTGCAATAATTACATTGGTGTAGGTTGAGCTCGTCAAAAAAAATATCCGCGCCCACTTTAGTTTCAAGTTTAAAATAATCTGTGTAAATTTTTTTTTTGTTTTGAGGTATTCACTTGGATTGCATTTCTTCTTTCTCCACATTCCACACTTTTTTGTAGTGATGTGGGTATAGAAATTACAATCAAGTGGAAGAAATGTAACACCGCCATCGATATTGGGAAGAATATTTTAACTATAAGTATATGTGGCACTAATAGAATTTAAAGAAACCTTGCGAAAAGTGATATTCCAGTGGGAGTGATTAGCGGCAATAAGTTATCTAGAAACTTATATATTGTGATTAATGAACAAAGTTGAATATAAACAAATATTATATAAAGTTGATTGCAAATATATAAAACGACGCCATATGTAATTAAGAGTTTGCAGATATAGTACTGCCGATAAAGTATTTTCAACAAATGAACCCATAAACAATTGGAATATGTTGAACGCTCTATATTCTTATAAATAGAAACTCAATTTGATAAATCTTTATTAGATATTGTCTGTCTTATTCTAAAATATTTTTTAATTTAAATTTGAATATGTAAATTTGAAAATTATATTATATGTTATAGGAAAAAACTTTTATATGAATTTTATTTAATCTCCTTCTTCCATATGTGGCACCCAATAAGTAAATAGGATTCCATATGTATTTTATTATGCCATGATTATTTTAGCGTTATATATATGTATCTTTCATTTAACATTACGGAATGCTCAAGCCTTAATATATGAGTTCTGTAATTACAAATTACAAATGCAAAATTAAGAATTTGTGGCAACATTCCGCATTGCTATCTTCGTATGATATCAATATTTAAATGATTAGCTGTACCTCATAGTTGTACGCCTTAAGTGCAAATTAATTTTAGTATTACTTATAAATTGACTTCGTCTTTTATACTTACCTGTGGTTTAGATCTAAAAACCAAGTACATTTATTTAGTTCTGATAGTGAGCTATAGTTACTGTATTATTATGTGAATTTTGCATGTGTACCATAAGTACTTCCCATTTTCATTTTTTTTAAATGTGCTTGTTCCAAATTGGATTGTAATTACCTTTCCTTCTAAATGCTTTACTGGATGGTTTTGTTACAAGAGTTAAAGAGGTGATCGCCAAGTCAACTTTATTTGACTTTGAAATGTGTGATGTAAAATATAGTAAACAGCACTGGTCCTAGCCCACGGCCTTAATATGCTCAGCTCTTTTATCTTAGATATTAGAGGTACTATTTGTGCACTTAACATAGTAATTTTTGTCATACATATATATACTTTTACTTGTGTACAAGCATAAAGGTGTATGCATGTATATGTTTTGTTATATAAATCAAGTGCTACATGCTTCGATTCTGAAAGAAGTTTTTTTTGTTCTATATAACAGTCCTGCTTGGTAAACACGCTGCAATATAAAAAAATTATGCAAAATAAATCGAAAAAATTTTATTGCAAATATATAAAAAAAAGTCCAGTATTCTTTCCGCTGCAAAATATACAAAAACTAATTTTATTTCAAATAAATTTTAAATACGGATTTTACCTTTTCCGCGAACCAAAGTCCTTAGCTACCAGTAAATTGTTAAATTTAGTGGCCATGGGTTGTGGGTCGTTGCATATCACATAAAGTCTCGTTTTGCATAAATGTTTTATTTCATTATAAACAAATTCAATTCATAAAAAAATCATAATTTAAAATTGTGAAAAAATAAAATAATAAAAATATTAGTGTTTCGAATGTAAATTTTAAATATTTAGCTTCCTAAAACAATCTAAACGAAAAATTTGTTAGAGATTGGCTTACATACGTTTGAACGCAGAATGCAGAATGTTGAATGCTGTGTAAACAAACTTTATATTTAAAAATATTTTATTTTTATATGCCATGCATCATATATTGTGCAATTTAAAAATGAAAAATTTTTATAATTTTAAAAAACAAATAATTTTAATTGAAAGGTGTACATAATCTCCGTTTTGGAACTGTTTTACAATGTATTTTTTGGGTTGAAAAGTAAATATTATTTTAAGATTGAAAACGTTTTTATCTGTGAATAAATATTTTTTCACTTGATTACAAAATATTTAATAAACAAAATTTAAAAAATTTATAAATTCTGAGATTGTATCTCAAAGAATTCAGAGAAATTGGCAATGGAAACGAATTTTATAAGGCACAAAATTGATATATTTAAGTTAAAATATGTCACAGCTTTTTTACTGCGCCAAGTGTAAAGTGTACACATTTATTTATGTCTTCCAATATAAGCAGTACGACTTTTAATCTAAATTTTGAATATTTGAGACAATATTTCAATATTTGACTACTTTATTTATTTGATAACTTTTACTAAATTCAATTGATTAAATACATTTTCGACAATTTGTCATTTGTTTGAATTGCACAACAATGCATCAGTTTTTCAGTATATTTTGGAGTACGTGGAGTGGTGGCACGTGGTGTGGAGTACATGATGTGGAGTACATGGCGTGGCATAGCGTGGCGTGGCGTGGCGTAGCATGCCAACAAAAGAAAAGTCAATTTATCAAAAATATCTTGAAAGACCAATTGTTGCACACAACTTGCTTGAGTGCTGCACAAATGTGATCCACTTGTGCATTTCGATTCAATGTATCGTTCCTGATAAATATTTATTTAAATGTTCTGAATAATTTATAACGTATTTGATGACAGTTTAAGTTTTTTATTTCAGTCTATAAACAAATATAGAACTTTTTATTTTTGATTAAATTTTTCACAAATATAACAATTGGGTAAATATTTGAGCACGTCTTAATGTACTACTTATAACATTTTTCTTTTTGATCTGTTTCAGATATTTAATTACGTTATTTACACATGATAGGAACACATTTACACTTTTAGACTTTTGGACTTTTGAAATTTATATTCAAACATTATTAAAAATTTATAAATTAGGTCTTTTAATTTGGGATTATTGACATCATTGTGGCTTAAATTGTTATTATATTATATTTATGCTGCTATAAATACTCAACATATTCTACACTGACATATTTTAACTAAATCAATACATGCATGTGTTTTCCTGCAGACTCATTCAATATTAAAACAATGCGTTTCTCATTAATTAAATTCCTTTTAAGCAAAAACCAATTTCAGTTTAAGCCTGACAATGTACATACAAAGCTAGCAGATCCCTGCATTTCGATGCTGATAGAAAATTTATTAAATTTGTTATAAATATTAATGTGTCAACACAAGGCTCAATGTTTATGCTTAACAAATAAATTCCACTTTTAATGAGTTTTTAATTTTATATCCACAAATTGATTATTTATATGAAACGATACGATTTCATTCTATAATATAACGCGATAAATTTAAGTGAACATTTTTTTCTGAAAAATTTCTAATAATATTTTACTTTTTATCAACAAAATGCGAACAAGCTTATCTTCTAAAACGATACAATATATATATTTCGTATACTATCTCTTTGATCTAGAATAAATAAACCAAAACTAAAACATTGACGGCCATGATATTTTTAAGGATGCGTATGTAAAATCCAAAATATTGCTTTGGTTGTATAATCTATGTTACGAAATATACTCGTGACTTGTGGGCGTTCTATATATTAACACAAATTATGTGCTATCTAGTCATTCACAGTCAATTGTATTTTTGAGATAAATTTATATAATATTCATTTTGAGAACAACTTCCACTATAATTCTTTTTAACTGGGATATTTATAATAATTACATATATTCAATCAAGCTAACAGCTTAACGAAGAGATAAGATACCGTGCACAATGAACAATTCAAATGGTTTTACTTATATCTGATCTATTCTATATGTAACAAACTTTATCCATAGTATTTATTTACTTCATCAATTTTTTAATTAATGTAATATGTTAATGGATATTTTTTTGTTCAAGCTGAAATCAATGAGTTTATTGTGTATTTTATTTAACTAATTCAGTTTTGTTTCTGAACATACCTAGTTTTTGTTTACCTCGATAACATGTTTTTGATGAGCTTTATCAATCAATTCAAATAATATGATTTATTAATATGTCTCTTTATTATTTAATAGCCATTCTCTCTCAAATAGTAAACTTCTACATTTCAAATTGTCTTCGTGTTTTTAAAACAGCAAATAACCGATGCGGGTTACATCTATTAAATATGATGGATTTATTATGAAGTTTACTCTAGTTTATTCCACAATAATATACTGATAAACATCTATACCGTCTGTTATAGCGAAGGATTGTTTGTACATGGACGAGTGTTTACATGATTAAATCCGAATTCTTTTATATAACAAATAAGTAAACCATTGATTACTGTACAAATATCTGTCGTAATGCAATTTGTACACTTTAATCATCTACAGCAATAAAATTCCGCGGTGGATGTTACATAAGATTTGACATTAAACAATTAAAAGATACTTTTTGTCGAAAATTATTAGACAATCGTCTCTGGTGCATTTATTACCAACTTATTGAGCTACTTTCATCAGTTTTATAGAAGTTTCCTAGAACTTCAACAAAAATAATATTCTTTACTGTTCCTATGACAATAGACATATTGGATTTCAATATTAAAATCACTTTAAAAGCATTTTACTTTTCACTTATGAACTTTACTTATAATTTGAAAATATACGTTGGTGTTTTTATTTTCAAAAGAAATGCTTTAATTACTGCTTTATTGTTTTTTTAAAGACGACATTAAGAGCACTATCCCACTTCATTAACATGTATTAAGCAATACATATGAATAATAGTGAAAATATTTATTGTGATAGACAATCTTCGAATAAAATAATCCAACTATATTACCAGTACTAAGACCAGAAGTGTCCGTAAGCTGAGAATCTTTACCACCATACTGTAATAACCATTATTAATAATGTTCAAATGCAATATTAAAACTAATATTTATAATTATTTCTAGAAATATTTCCATGTCTGTCAATAATTGTATAAGAACAATTTAGTTATATCAAGTTAACAGTTTTTCTTCCAAACAGTATGCAGTGTCCACCCGTTGTTCTGGGTTTCCTGTTTAAATAAATTCCTGAAAAGTAATCTAGATTTAAATGCCATTGGGGTTGACTTGCATATTCCTTGAGCTGCCGCAATGCGCTGAGAATAATAATTTTTAATATTTTATCCCAAAAGTAACTCGTATTTACTTGGTCGGCTCAAAGCAGTCATTTGTGTTGCTTGATTAATTCAAAGTGTTACGTTGCACATTTTTTTGTAAATGTTTGCATTTAGAAATAAACTTCAGGCGCAGTGCTTTGCTTCTTCTAAGTTAAGAGCAAGTATAGAATTTCTCAATGTTTCGCCTGCTTAAAGCAGCTAAGCAAAAGTAACATAAGCCATGCGGCTGGGCTACACAGAAAACAGATTCCGAATTTCAGTATATTTATTACTCAAATAGCAAAAGGAAAAGGACACATGCCGGAACATGCACACAACACAGTCGAAATTATATGTTGTATTAAAGTTGTAGATCAAACAAGTCATGTTCAAAGAGCTAACATACTAACATACCAACAGCAACACCAACAACTCACCTACCATATTTCCAGTTCATCCTTAAGGGAATAGGAGCAGATGGAAGCTAAATACAAAACATAAAACAAGAAAATTTTCTAACGGAAGCAAAAAATGCAAACAACAACAAGAAGCTATAATAGAACCAACAATAGCGCCAAATAAAGACCATGAAGGACATACATTACTACAGATAACTAGAGTCTTATGCATAGGCATTCTTGCTGTCGCTCCCATTGGTTCTGCATTGCTCTACTACTTTGCTTTTTCAGTTAGGCTAAGCACAAAATGAAGGGAAATGGCTTACTTCCGCTTGGTGCGCACAGTGTGCACCAAACTATGTCAATTCCACTGGGTGATATGTTTATTATATTTGTGCTTTCAATTTTTCCTATTTTATAAAAGTTTTTAAGGATTTATTAAATTTTTGTAGCTAAGAATTTTAGAGAATTTATTATACTTTGCTCAAAATACGTCTAACGGGCTTAAGAGGTTTAAAGCTTTTTAGACGCATAAGCCCATAAATATGAAATCCTAAAACCACTCAAATTGTATTAAAAAGGTTAATTTGACCCACTGTGCTGTTGAGCGTTTTTAAAATACCAACCAATGATTCAGCTCCAGCAATGTTTTTTGCCTTGTATCGTTTATGCATTGTGCTCGATGTAATGCAAAATCCTGGAAGTGCTCGTACAGATGAATCCGTGTAAAAGGTCTGTTTTTGTGAATTCCACAATGAATGCTTGTTTATGGTTCATTGTTCGCTTGCTAGTTGGGTTTGGTATATCCTTGTTTTGTAGTTGTGATTTTCTCTATTCTGTATTTGCCAATAACTTGGCTGATACTTCTGCAATCCTGTGTCGTTAAGAAAGCTTTTGCTTCTTCTTTTTCTATACTATTTTTCAGACTTTTCAACGACGATTTTTGTCAATTGAATTGTGGCTTTGGAATCTTTCAACAATTTATTGCATGAAATTATGTGAGATTTTGCAATTGTTTTGTATGTGCTGTGTGTGCAGCACATATAGAGAATCTTCTTCTAGTCTTTACCCAGAAAATCCTTAATATCGATTTCGTTTTTACTGCTAGTAACATAAGGATTAACAATATTTTGCACAGTTGAACGATTTTTATGCCCATTTGCAGGCGATGTTTCTTTTGATCAACTTCTTAATTGGCAAATTTTGTTTTACTTTAACGTTTTCCCAATGCTCAAAATATTGGCTTTAATAAAAACAAAAATAGAAAGAAATATTAGTCTAAGAAGAATTCAACAGAAATGAAATAAAACCATCAAATATATAAAAGGGAGCAACAAAAAAATTCATAATTTCTAATATATATATAAAATTGCATTTATTTCAAAGAGTTTTGGTGGAACTGGAACCTTATTTATTATTAATTTACTATGTGGTACATATAATCAAAAATACTTTTTAACATTATTTAAGAAAACTTTCCAGGCTTGTGATCAAGTCTGTCTTTCATTGAGTCAAAATAATAAAACTTCCCTTATCGATTAATTCAGAAATTTTACAATTCAAATTGTTAAGTAGTACTCGTTCAGATTCAGCAATCTTTAAGAAGAATTGAGATATAAAGGTTTTTGAACTGATAATCTACATTGCCAAAATAAATTCGAATAAATTCAAAAATAGCTCACTATCATTAAATCTTAAATTACGATACTTAGGCATTTTATTTTGGCTTGAATAATTGCATCCTAATTAACGACCGGTATTCAATCTGAAATCAGACTAACAAAAGCTATGTCAAATTTTGGAACTTCTATCAACGGCGCATGATAAAATAAAAAGCACACTTTTGATTCGCTCTTCACTGCTCAATTTACGCCAAAAATATTGATAATCATGTTGCTTTACCGATCAAAATAGATAGTTCGTATTACTCCTACGTCAATTTAGAACACAGGGTTGGTTCAAAACACATCCTGTAGAAATGCCATACCATATAGTAACTTTTTGGGACGTAAGGGTCTTTAATAGTTATTTGTGGATTTCTAAATAACTATGTACTTCATAGATATGAAGTACATACTCGTAGAATAAATCGGTTAAAATTGAAAGTATATTTTGATTGGTATCTGTTTAAACTTGATTATTTGAAGAACTATCAAAGTTTGAGTTAGAATAAATAAACTATTATAATCATTGAAGTTATAAATATTAATAAACTTATAATTAATTGCTTTAAAACTTTTCCGTTCTCAGAAATTTAGTATTTTCTAGTTTTTACACAGCGGATATTACCTTTTCAAAATATGCAACAACAAAAAGTGCAATTTTATCTAATGCACATTGTGCAGTGGCACTGAAATCGCAACGTTTTCGCGTTCATCTTGCTTACCAGGTTTTTCATTAAACTCGTTGTTTCGGCTTCAGTTTGAAAAATATTAATAAGCAAAAATAAACTACAAATTCTTTTTAGATTCTTGGATTCAATACCAAAATTTAGTAAAATGAAATTCAGTAAAATTCGCCAAATTTAATTTAATTTGAAAATTTCAACAAAAACTTATTTCGGAAACCATTAAGTCGACAAATTGACGGCATCAATGTGCTCAGGCCACAACGAAAGTGGCTGCAATGATCGCCTCCTATTATGTTTACTCCCTGGCGATTATTGGAACAGAGTACGGTAAAGTTTGTTTTTGTGATGATTTCGTAAATCATTTAAGCGTGCGAAGCAGGCAGCATATTTAGGAAACTTTGATTGAAAAAGTTATGGGAAAGCCTGAGGAGCTGTAAAAATGAAAGATGAAGTAGGAAAATTTAAATATCATTGAACAGATAGATTGTCGGTTTGCTCTTGCGTTATGAATCCATTTAATAAAATTTTTATTAAAGTATATAAAAGTTTTAAATATGTTTGTTTCTTAATTCCAGATGCGGTCAGGAGACGCGTGTAATACCGCGTATACTACAGTTGCGTTCGCACTGGATGAAATCTGAAAAAGAATCACTGCGCTTACAAGAGGCAGGCATAACAAAGGAAGTACTTAACAGTGCGATAGCACAGTTTTCACTGGAAATCATTGCAAAACACGGTGAACCGGCGGCACGCCTTTGCAACAAAGATCCGCTGACGCTCAAAATGGGCTCCTATGTGATAGAATTGTTTCCAAATGTAATTGAATTACAATACATAAATGTTTTTCATTTAAGTTACCTCTTCACTTTCGTTTTTTAGGCGAAATTTCTTTTTATGGTTCGCGATGGACGTGCCACCGTACATTCAATCATTTCGCGTAAAGTAACAATAACAGGTTTTGATCTTACAAGTTATCGCCAGTGCATGCAAAAATGGAATCATGCTATTGAAGTTATGTACGACCAATGCCAGGATATTGGTAAAGAGCGCTGCATGATGGTAAGTTTATTCAAGTGTACTTTAATTTGAAAGGAGCAATTTTTGTACATAATTTTATGTTTCCGACATTTCAAGTTGGCTCATCCATAATTGTTCTTAATTAAATAAATTTTATATGGCACGAAATTTGATTGTTTTTACTAGTTCACACTGCGTTACACATGAATATTGTAATTAATCATACGACGCGTTGTACCAGGTCATGCGTATGACAGCTACACCTCCTGCGGCGTCATAATTGATTTTATTGTATATCACTCATTACATGTGCCGGATTTTATTATACATTATTTATAGCTCGTGTTAATTTTAATTTTATTCGTTAGTGCCTGATTGTAAATATCGCACCGAAAAACGAAATTATTCTATTTTTTTGCTTACAGCCAACCAAATTGCTTGCACCAAAGAATTGATTCAATTTACAGCAAAGTTAATTTAAAACGGCTCCATTGAACTGTATTGTATGCATACTGAATGCCTTTGACAAGTGGACCGAAAGGTTTGAGGTTTTGTAGATAGGATCATTTATCATTTTAATGCCTATGGGCTAAATGCTTCAAGCCTGTACTTGATACAATTCTGTATAATAATTCTTTTATTTCTCTTTTTAGCACCTCACATAAAACTGTAGTGCTATGAGTTACAAACCATAAATATTTCGAAATGATAAAATACAGACAAAATAGAAATATAAAAACAATTTACATTCCACAAAAATATGTTGAATTCTTGATTGATGTTCAACAACATTTTTTTGCAACATTTGAAACAGGCATCGACTTTAATATTTTGGGTCATATTTCAAATTAAAACAATACAAATATGTCTAAACTAATAAATTGTAATATATCTGTTGAGTTTTGAAACAATAAAAAGTGACGAACTTACCTAGATATTATAACAAGTTAACAATAACAATACTTTTTATTTTAAATTTTTAACTTAAGTGCCTGAATCTTAATTTCACTTTATTTTTAATTTGGTGTCAATTAGCAGACGGGGATCTCCGTCACACTCATGGATTTATATCCATCTTATCTCTACAAACCCATGCCCTCACACGTTTATCCGGGTGTATCAAACTCCAAATTAGCAGGTATTCCATCCCTTCGTGCTACATGTGCATTAATGAACGCATCAATAAAATATTGAAAAATTTTTTTAATATCTAAATCCATATCGACAGATTTATTATATATTATTAATAAGTAGTTGCGATTTTGAAATATATTTTTAATCCTAACTAAAGCTGGCTTAATTAGTTAATCAGAGAATGAATAAAGATGAAGGTTCTCTCATTCTTATATGCTCAAACGATTTAAAAAAGTTTGTGTATTTGTTAGGTTATCTCAATATAGCAAATATACATACAATAAGCACCATAAACACATATGGTACGGTTCTGACATTTATTCAAACATTAACACCATCCTCTTATTAAATATTAAAATATCTAGAGTTATCATTTTGTCAAATATACTTTCAGGTCTACTATGAACAACTTGTATTACATCCAGAAGAATGGATGAGAAAAATATTAAAATTTTTAGATGTGCCATGGAATGATTCTGTACTTCATCATGAAGAATTCATAAATAAACCAAATGGAGTGCCATTGTCCAAGTAAGTGAAAAAACTATAACAGAATTTCTTCTACTCTAATAAAAAAAAAATTATAAAATAATTTGTGCAAAAAATCCAAATAAATTAAATAGTTAACAAAAAGAAAAGTATAAGCAAAAAAAGAAAAGAATATTTAAAGTTTGTTAAAAGGTTTGTAAGCCGGTAACGATCGAAATTGGTTAATTATATCGTTTAGTAGTGCTGATAAAAAATAAATAGTGCTCAAATAAAATAATAATGATTAATTGAATTGGGACAAAAATTTGCCATAAATCTATCTATAGAGATAGATTTGCGGCTCTAGTATTAAAGTTCTGGCAAAACCAAAACTGACCGTTGAGCCTTAAATCATTTTGTATATAGATTCAATAGCTAAATATTCAATATAATATAATCAAAGATGCTATCCTTACATTCTAGCCTTAGTAAGTAACTAATCAATGTTGGTAATAACGCTGGGTGAGTTGAAGAATAGGGCAACCAAAAGCTTTAACCTGTTACAATGGATAAACCTAGACGTAAACACTAACACTAACCTGGCTATATATCGTCCTGTATTACTTCCAACTTGTCGCTACGGATTTGGTCACAGATTCTATATTTGGAAAACGTAGGCCATATCGCTTTTGACCTGGTTGCTGAAGTAATATTAATCCTATTTCTGCCAGTCTGTCCCAAAAAATTATCATATACCAATTTTCGTCTGTAAGTAATCAATTAAAGTATTCGTTCTTAATTCTCGTTCTAATACAAATCAGGATACTCATTCCTCTAAGTACTTTCTCAACTCTGGTTAACATAGTTAACCACTATGTTAACTAAGTTGTATAGAACTGTTTCTGCGAATTCCTCTTTAAGATATTTATGTTGAACGCCCGACTATTATATACTGTTATATATATCAAGGACTATAACAAGTTTTTTAAATCTAGCTGGAGTTAAAATTAAAATTCGCATTTAATACTTTTAATACTTGCACTACGTATTTTTTTTTTGTTTCGTTATTGCTGTTAATTGAAACTATTGACTATTCTAACCAACTTACTTTCACGATGTAATAAAATTTACACATGAAGTAATTCTTAAATGTTGCACTTGAACTGTTTGACTAGAGTTGGTCCTTGTTAACTTTTTATTAAAAACGGAGCCTTCCATTTATGTGTTTTAAGCTTAAATACCAGTGTAAATATTTTATTTTCCAAATTTTACTGTTTGTAATTTAAAACTCAATACTTTTTAGTGCAAGTTTTATTATTACTGAGAGCATTTTTAATATAAATATTTGCATGTACATTAATATGGAAACGTAAGCCATTTTTACAATCCTTAAAAAGCCACCTACACGAACTTCCACACTTGCAGGAAGAGGAATAAAAAAACTCATAGAACAACACCCAAATTAATCGCATAAATTTAAGTGTTATGTTTCCCGACAATTAAGGATGGCCATCCATGTGTGCTCACATGTGTTCCAACAGCCCATTGCCTAGTCTGTATGTGCTAGCTTTGCATGTGGCTCAAATTCATTTGTGTTGTATTCATAACGCAAACAAAGATTAACTAATCGTTTTAATAACTTGGGCCACTTGTGCCCACTAAAGTGTGGAAATGTTATGAAAACACAAATAGGATCGCTACTAGTGAACTATGTACTATGTACACTGAAAAAAGCGTTGCTGTGCTGTTATCTATTGCGATGCACCGTACAAAACATTGTACAATAACCGGATTACCAAGATAGATTTTCGCTATTATCCACTAATACAGGTCTTGTGTAAAAACGGGCTACTGCTGCTAATATCTACTTCAGTAAAAATTTATTTGCAGACTTTTGCATGGTCGAGTACAAAACTTTTGCGTTTTTCTACAATGAATTTTCCACAAATCCTGAAAATCTTAAAGCAACTTCAAAGTAATTTGCAAATTAAAATTATTTGTGTGTAAAGCAAAGTTAGTAGTAATGAAAGAACCGTGTGGTTTGGTTGGGACACTGAACAAAAACTATATTGTTTGGTTAGTTAGTTATTCTCAGTGTTAAAATTGAGCAACGAAAAAAAAAAGTTTTTTTAATTTATATTTATAGAATTAAAAATATTGTTTCTTTTACAATATGCAGAGTTGAGCGCTCATCAGATCAAGTGATTAAGCCTGTAAACCTTGAAGCTCTTACAAAGTGGGTAGGACAGATACCAGATGATGTGGTTCGTGATATGCCAGATTTAGCGCCTATGTTATCGAAGTTGAACTACGATCCTTACTCCAATCCACCAGAATATGGTAAGCCAGATGCTTGGGTTGAGGATAATACGTCAAAGGTATGTGCAGCTAGTGAATGAAGCCTGATTTCTGTTCGTGTTTTTGTTACTGTTGCTGTTGTTATACATAGTAGTGATATTTATTTGTAATATGTGTTTTTTAAAATGAAATACCTTGTTATATTTATAACTTTATTGTTGTTATCACTTATTATTATAATTTGCACTTCAATTGTTTGCATTTATATTTTATATATTTTTAGGGGTGAGCTCAATTGTTAAAGAAATATGAGTACGCGGTATAAAAAGTAATCTGTTGATTGTAATACATTATACATATATTAATCGATTTAGATTCATTAGTACTTGACTTCAAATACATACATATATTGTAATTAATATCTGGAATACCCTTAAAATGGTTGAACATAAATCACACTTTTTAGCTGCACATCTACATTACATTACTTTTAACGTTGGTTATGATTTGACTTCTTTGGTAGACTACTAATCAAATTAAACAGAAAGATTTCTGCAAAAATAAGTAAATAGGTGGCAAAAAATAATTTTCAAAATCTCTTGTCAAAATAGTACAAATGTATAATTGATTTCACCACAACTTACCAACACTTTTATAATTAACTTAATGTGACATTGAATAAATGATTCATCTTTTCACTATTGTTAAACTAAAATTAGCTAACGGTTTTAACAATTATACTCTTAAATATTCTTTATCTTAAATAGTTAGTTTTTTAATAAAACGCTTGTAATATCAAAATAGAATATTTCGAAAACAATATCTGAGTTTTATCTGAATTACAACGGGCTACCAAGTTGAGGTAGATCCCCATAATCAAAGTTTGACTCTATCCTAACCTTAGAAAACAATTTATTAATAAAACTCTTAAGTTAACGATTATGTCAACATGTTAAAAATTTATAAATGTTGTGATCTGTACCAATATATATATATATACAAACATCCATCCTATAACTAAAATTTAATTTTTGTTTGTGATAATTTTTTGCTGCCAATTCTAAGACTTAATGTTATATTTCTGAAAACGCTTTATACTTGATTGTTTTGAGTTAATATTCTTTGAATAATGTGATCGTTATTAAAAGGCTTTTAAATAACGAAGTTATGAAAAATTCATAACGCATGATTTAATTTTTTTTTTTTTGTGTTTAATTTGTGGATTTCTACCATTGAACTTTAAAACGCCATTGTTTATTTTTAATATTTATAATATATTTATTTTTCAATTTATTTTTAAAATTTATTGCACTTATTTCTCTTCAACGGAAAAAAGGTAAAAGCCAACAAAAAGCTTTGGGAGAATAAAGCAAAAGAAGTGTTACGAATACTACCTCACGACATTAAAGAAACTAAGTCGGACGAGGATAATGTCAATGATCCATTTGCGCTTGCTCCTGACAACAACAATAACAATGACCTGCAACAACAAGTCGATTATGACGATAGCAATAATGTTAACAATAACAGAAAAATATCGAAGAAAAAGCAAAAGGATATAGTCAATATAAAACAGCTCAACAAAATCAACAACTACAACAATGAAAGCTACAATCACCACCCACACAATCATAATAATGCCAACAATGACAATGCCAATTCAATAAGAGAACGAACATGATACACGCAACAACAATACCAACAACAACAACAACGCAAACATCAACAAGGACTGCACCATAACCACAAACAGCATCAGCAGCAACAACAACAGCAACAGAACGTACCAATACCAATACGTTTGCCACACCGTAACCACTGAAGTGCGATTATAACGGAAGTGTAGCTGCGGAAACGGAAATGCGCTGTACTTTTTAAACATAAAAATAAAAAAATATAAAAAAAATATAAAAAAGAAAATAACAATAAGCAAACCAACTGAAATCAGAAAGCTTACATTGTTTATGCTTTGAAAGAAACAAATAGCAAAATGTGAAATAAAACAACTAAATACAGAAACAGAATCAGAATCAGAATTGGAATCAGAGAAAACAGTAACCAAAAACAAAAACAAAAAATAATTGTTGTGAATTGATTAGTTGTTCTCTTTTATGGATTTTAAACGACTCCCGACTTCGACGCTTACGCCGACGCCGACGACGACAACAGCGACGTCCACGCCTACTACTCGACTTTGAATGCATTGTTTTAAATTTTTATATGAAATGTTTTAAAAATTTATAGTTAAAATTTTATGCATAAAGTATTTATAATAGCAATGCCAGCGAGCATGTATATTTAATATGTTTTGTTTTTAATATGTATCTTTGCCTTATTAAAATTTTATATTTTTTTATATTTACAATTTATCTGTTTTTTTTTTTGTTTTTTTTTTTGGGTTACAAGCAAGTTTTGTAAATATTTTTATAAAAAAGCTGGAAAACAAACAAAAAATATTCTTGCTAAAAACTGTTCGGCATTGTTTCCTATTTTTATACATGTTTTTATCTTTATAATTTTGCATGTACATATTTATAAATATACGTATATTTATATACAATAATTAATTTAATTATTACAGAAAAAAAAACAAACAAAAAATCAATCTTTAAGAGCTTTTAAAATAATGAATAGAACATATATTGATAATAAAACTTATTTATAGAAAAACTAAATAATAATAATTATATATATATAAAAAATTGACTTTTGTTAACTATATATAGTTTTAGTTTAATTAAAATTAATTTTAATGCTTGTTATACACCAAAAATTTTTCATAATAAGTTTAATTTTAAATTTTTATTATAAGTATTTTTACACATTTTCGTAAATACATTTTAACAATTGTTTAGTATGTATATGTCATAGGTAAGAAAAAAAAGTATTTGCAATTTGATCAACATGAAAATTGTTTTTTAGTACTGTTTATCCAATTATTGTCAACTAAAATTTGTAAAAATTGTATAACAAAATCAACCAAAATGAATTGAAAGCCTCTGCTTCTAATTAAGACAGTAAATTTAAAACTTTATCCATTACTTTACATACAAATAAAGACTTATATTTTTCAAGTTTTATATGTAAAACATTTTCCTTAAAGCAGGTATAAAATTAATTAATAATTTAAAATTACATGACAGATTATGTGATTTATGCGACGGATTATAATTTATTCTCTGTTGTTGTAGCCTGGCTAATTTTTCAGAACCTGAGGAATGTTTTTAAGTTGCATTTTTTGCTAAGCGTAAAACTCCAACAGAATGTATGAGTGACATTTAATCAACGATGTCGAATGGCGTTTTCCACACTACGAATCATATCGTCTTTTCATCATTATGACCTATGTTTATTGTATTGCTTGGGCGATCAAAATGAACTTGCATTCCAACAAAGAGTAACAGAAGTTGATTTAAGTTTGCTGTAGTAAGTTGTATAGAAAGAAATATACTGTAACTCAAATCAATTAAATTTTGAAAGTGATTAAAAATATTTATTTAAAGGTTTTTTTCACTTTAATTTGTATTATGTTAAAATATTATTTATAATAAATAAATTTTACATTATCGAATCATATTTTAGTATTTCAAGCACGCGTATACGTGTTATTACATATATGTAATAATCTAATCATATATATAATAATAATAATATCTATCTTATGGTCTTTACTATTTAAATAAAGTAAGCTTTATTCACTTTTTGTTTAATCGTATTGTTTGCCGATTACTATGAATTAAAACTTCAAATATTTTTTACTCCATTCCGTCGATTGAAAATTGAATTAGTTTTTATGGAACAATGTACTTAATAACCTAGAGGCCTTTTAAGTCCAATATTGCTTTTTCGATTATCTAAAATTCTTCTAACAAAATATTTAATTAATCACATATTTTTTAATCTTTTTTTACTATGACATAAATGCGCTGCACAAAACTTAACTATAATTTTATATAATTTTTATCAAATATTATTTTTAAATATGCAATGATCTTTTTAATTATTAATTTTAAATACAACATATTTATATTTAATGTTTATTTTTAAAATTTAGCTTGCAATTTTTTGTACTAAAATGCCTGACAATAAAGTTGCACATAGTAAATTCTAATAACAATAATTATTTTAAAAATAATGACACTAACACAGTTACACATACACACGCAAATATACATATGTATATGTATATATATACAATATATATCCTAATGTACACCGAGCAGCTTAAGCAGACCAATTATATCTGTAAAGTATAAAATTTAATTATTTAAGTGTTAATTTCCAATTCAACAAATTGTATTTAAAATGCTTGAACGCTACTTAAATCAATAAATTTAAAATTGTAAAGAATATAGAATTTAATAATTTTTAACATTAAAAAAAGTAAAATAAATCAAAATATTTTATATTTGCATGTATATACAGACATACATACAAAACACAGCCGTAAATATTAGCAAATTTGATGTCATTTAAAGTGCATTGTAATATTAAAATTAATTTAGTTATTGTAAATTAATATTTATTATAAATAATTAATTGAATTATCAATAATCGAATAAAAGACTTTTTATGATTGAACGAAACAATTGTTTATTTAATTTTAGTGCCAGGACTTTGGGATTCAAGCTTTCCAATTTGTTTTTTATATTTTGTTAGCAATGGAATAATTACTATATATTCTCACTCATGGGTCTATATTGAGCTTATCTTGCTTATCCTGATCCTGACTACAAAAATATATAACTATGTTAACCAAAAATAGAAGAAGATGATAGAAGAAGTGTAGTACCAGTTTCAATAAATCTATAATCGCTATATTATTAGGCAGAGAGGATAAATAAATTTTGTATTATATGTTATTTTTGCATTATAAATATGCAGAGATTAAAGAATTAGAAAAGAATATACCTAATTTGAAAAAAAAAATAACAATCAAAAAACATGAGATGATCGATTCAGGGATGTTATTGTTGTTGTGATAACGAGTAGTTGTTATCTATGTGACATATAACATGTAAGGAATTACAAATATGGGTTAGGATATTGGTGGGTTAAGCAAGTGTGAAGAGGGAGGATTTCAATTGAAGCTGAAAATTTATGTAGTGTACTAAAGTCATGCAGTTTAATTAGTGAAATCAATTTCTAAGTAGTACTAGTAATATAACGATCTTCGCTGTAATTGCCATAACGAATTCTAAATAGGTTTGATTGGTACTTCGTAGTATCAAAATTTGTATGGCACTTAGCATTTAACATTCGTTGTGTTGGCTATAATAAAAAATATTTATTAAAATTGTACAAGTCATATAAATTCACGATTTTTTACATTTTAAATGATGGTTACATGCCCACGATGATGTACGTCAGCAATTTTCAGAAGCAAAAAACTGCTCTCAAATCCCTATGTGGTCGTATGTCAAAAGGACGTTTTTGTCCTTTTTATAGTTGTCAGGTTGAAAAGCATAGTTCAGAGTAATCTATGTAAATTTGCTGTCAAAAAATATGACAAGGATTTAAAAGCAAAAGTTAAATACAATTTTGTGAATAGAAATACTTATGCATAGGCAGTAGGCAGTTTAAATTGAACTTTAGGTAGACCAAAATAACAAACAAATGTCTCAAGTGAATAATTTTTGTGGCATGCGTCTTCCTTCACTGTAATTAAGAATGTGATATAAAAAGGATCTACTAAAGTTTTAATTTAAACAATTAATACCCTTTATCTTAGTTATTTTTAGTTTAATACTTTTTTATTTTAATTTTTGAATTCATGATTATATAGTATACAGAGTATATATTCTATAGTATAGAGTTTTTCTAAATGAAATAAAACAAAGCATGAACGAAGCATTTCGAGAAACAAATTGTTGACACACGATGCATATCTGGATAAAATGGAACCTAAAAAAGCACGCATGTCTCAAAAATCGAAAAGTCTTATTAATAAATATTATATTCAGTGATTGCTACAGAAGCAGTGGCAATTGGAAGAAAGAAAAAACTTTCATATTCTCTGTTAAAATTCAACAAATCACAATTCAAGAATGGTTATGATTTGGTTGTGATACCTACATTACTTGAATGATATAACATTTATATCTAACGTGGCTCTGACAAAGTTCTTAGAATATAATATAATTTCTGAAATCAACAAGAAGGGCTGAGGGATGGCTCAACAACGGTTTTAGTGGGATTAATGGTATCACATTGGATTCACATAGTCTAACTATATTAGTTTCTAAATAACATAAGCCGGTAACTTTACGTACTAACCTCTCTATGAATTTATGGCATAGCAAAATAATGTCAGACATTAAATTACTATTTAAATCCTGATGAAATAGTTGTGAAGTGTCCACACTTTCAGAATACTTCGAAAATTAGAATATTTATATTTGCATATTTTATATATTTATTATTAAATTTCATTACCATTGTTTTTTTAATATAAATAAAATTGATTGAGGTTTATACAAATAGTTAAAATTAGTATATAAACATTTTTATGAAATTGTTGTAATTATTATTTTAATTGGCACAATATTATATACTACAATATCAAGGAATGTTATGGTAAATAATTCCACCATTGTTTATTTTATTGATTGATTGCTTAATCCTATTAAGTAAGCAATTAATTAAAAATTATTTGTACTTTCTCCTAAACTTCGTTTAAACCAATTTTCTTACTCCACAAAAGCTACTATTAAGCAATTTACAGCGAAGGAACTTTCAAGTGACATTTTCATGCAATGAATCAGTCGTTAGGAGACGTAGACTGAATATTTTTC